GGAGAGAAAATGTTTTGAGAAACGATGTACAAATGTGGTTTACACAATTGATGTGTGTATGGATTGGGATAACAGTTGTATGAGCCCCTAATAAAATGTTAAAAAAGAAAAAAAATAAATTAATTAATAATTAAAAAAATAAATGTTTACCTTTTACACACAAAACTTTACAGCAAAATTCTGTTAAGTACGCATGGTTTTTATCGCATACACTGATGGCTTGGGATCACCACTAATTCCTTTTACTCTTTTGCATTTCCTTTTTATGGGTTTTCCCTCTTTTCCACTTGTTGGAACGTACATAATTGACTTTACTGTAATTATTTGCAGTTGCACCAATAGAGTCTCAAGGAGGCAGAGCAGTATTTGATCAAATCCTCTCTCAAATAACCCCATGACTTGAGTTAGACGCAGCTTAAATACTCCTTGGGGATGCCGAAAGCAGGTGAACACTCTAAAAATAAGCCTAGTTTACAATGGTAGGGAAATACAATGGTAAAAAACGAATTTTGTGCTAAATGTCACATTGGGGGCGGGTGTGATAAGAATATGGTGATCTCAAGTAAAAACACTCGTTGCATGTGCTCTTCCTTTCTATAAATACTTCCTGAAACGGGAACGCTTTGATCCTCCTGCCTTCACAGCGTCAGATACTACACATTTTCTAATTATAACTGATCGTATTTTAATTTCATTCCACTGCCCCTGATACCCCCCCCCTCCCACACACACCCACACCCACAAGAAGAAGGGTGAACTGAAGCACTATAGGCCACTGGATGGAATCAAAGCACGTTCCCTTTCTGCACATTGTGCGAGAAGCCTCAGCCACTCTTCTCCCAGATCTCTTGTTATTCTGTTCCTGACCACAAGATTGAAGTCATCTGTCAGAAGCTAGTCTTCATCGAAGTGGAAGTTATTTGAGACATGGGCCATAATGTTTGTTTCTGTAAGTCAGTTCACAGAAAGGTCTCAATAGAACAAATCCATTGTGGTAGAGTAGAGGCGGCCCTCATAGCAACCCTATAGGACACGGTAGAACTGTTCATAGGACTTCCTAGGCTGTAATGTTTATGGAGGCAGACTGCTACAGCAGTGACGGATGGGTTTGAACTATCAACCTTTTTGTTACCAGCTGAGCATTTAAGCGTTACACCACCAGAGCTTATAGACGAAGTTTGAAATTCCATTTTGCTTTTCTTGTTCTGAGTCTATTGTAGTTGTTAACTTTAAAGTGAGCAGTTTAATATTGATATGCAGTGTATTTGCATGTGTGACAATATCTTTATCCTAAAGATTTTGCTTTAATACCGTTTCTGACAGAAGTAACTACAAACGGGATTATGCTTAGCAGCTCTATTTTCCACGTTTTAGAATTCAGTCTCTACCTCTAGGTGGCAGCACTAGATACTTTTTTTCCTGCTGTTTCTTTCCAGCCTTAATGAGTTGGATATGGATCATAAAACTTTTAAGTCTACCGAAACTTGGAAATAGATGCTTATTACTGATTTCATAAGGCTCTAGAAAAATTAATCCACACATTGGATTAGTTTGGCACTTGCTTACGCCTATATTTTTAACATTTCCGAGAGAAAGAAAAAGACCTAAGAGCAATGACATTAAAAAAAAAAAAATCAGTGATCCTTATGACATTTTATGTTTTCTTAAAAGAATTTATTTTAAAATCCTTTGGTGATTTACCTGTCAAGTTTATAATTACCCTCTTAAGGGAATCACTTTTCCCCCTGACTTCTTTATTTAAGTAACTTGTGCACGGATTATTGTAGATCTAATAGATTGTATTTGCTTTTTATATTTTAAAAATTCAATACTGACTCATTAGCAAGGAAAATGAAGCCCACCTCCCCTAAAAAATTTTCAGTTTGGGAATAAATCTGAAGTACAGGCAGTCCCCAGGTTACAAACTTCTGACAGCTCATAGTTATGAACCAACGCCCATGAAGCCAATTACATTAAAAATGCAAGGTAGATACAATGGTTCATAATAACAGGTGCTGCTTTGTGATGCATCAAACATGATGATGATGATAAAGATATTTTGCGTCTCTGGAAGCGTTTCTTTAAAATTTTATGCATTGAAAAGATACAGTTTATACTAAGAAACATTTGATATACTGACATTTGATACAAACCATACTTGTAATTTACATACAAATTTGATTTAGAAACAAGTCCTTTGTAATCTTGGATTGCCTATAGTTGACTTTGCTATTGTGTTTGGAGAGAAATGGACATTTAAAGTAAATAGTTCATTAAACTTGAAATTTTCCCATAACTTTTGTCCAGTTGATGGATCTTTGTCCATAACTAGCTAGGCCCGTGTGCCTAGCTTGGACTGACCTAGCATGCAGCATACCCGCCCCCCCTCCACCCCCAGCAGCTGGTGCATGAAGCTGCCTGTGTTCAGGTGTGCTCAGTGAGCCAGGGCTTTTAAAGAGAGGTTGGTTACAGCTTCAGCTGGTCCCTTTCACAGTCAATGTTGTGAATGTGCAAAGCCAGTGTGAGGTTTCTTTTCTCCCTTGATTTTGTTATTTTTCGGATTGGCAAAGAAGCTTGCCTTCTCAAGAATCTTCCTTTTGGTTTGCCTTTTTCCTTACTTTTTGAAATGCTATAGGAATGGGTGTTGATTGATAATCACACTGCAGGGTACGGGCGGCTGTGTTCTCCTAAGCACTAATGAAATGTAACATCATATGCATACAATTGGATCACAACTAGAGTTGAATGAATTAGCTCCCTTAGACTACAGTAAAGAAATGGCCTGGCTCCCTCAGTCCCTCTGAGCTTTCAGTGTGCGGGTCTATAGCTTCACATGCTTCACTGATCTGCCGCTTCTCTTTGGGTGGGCCTAGGTAATTCATGAAGGAAAAATGGATATTGAGTCCTGAGGCCAACTGGCTCGTGTGGCTAACGAAGAATCATTTTTCAAATGATTTTGAATGTGTGTTCTCTTTTTATTGTGTACCATCAGTTTAGAGAACATCACTCTCATTCGTTCCCACAAAGAGCAGCTAGGACCTTGAAATGCAGTATGATCATGGGGTTTATAGGTTTTCTTAAGTTCATGATCTTGTGTGAATATGGTCTGGACTCCATGCTGATGCTGCCTCATTATTTGATTTTTTTAATTCAAATGACATTTATTGAGTGCTTAGCAGTTACTCTAGGTACTATTGGAAGCCATTTGCAATACTCGGGGCTCCAACGAGTCTTGGGGAAGCGGGGAATGGAGTTGAAAGGCATTGGTATTTTCCTAAGAACCTTTCAAAGCTTAGATTGCTTAGCCAATCTAAACCCCAAAATGGCTTGATGTATTCTGTGACACTGCCACCATTTTGCAGGTGAGAAAACTGAGTCTCCATGCCTCAGTCTTACTCTTTGTTCAGCATCTTTCCACTGTATTGTACAATCATGGCACTGAGGTCTCTTAATAGCTGACAAAATAGGGCTTAGAATTTTGAATCAATTCCGAATATACCTATGAGACATCTTCCTGCTTAAAAACCAAATTTTCGGAGGTTTTTTTTTTTGGGGGGGTGTACTTTTGTGCTCAAGTTTTTTTGCTTGGTTTTCAAATGGAAACTCAAAAATTCTGTCTTACATTACTTTATTTACCTGGGTGCAAAAATTCCCTAGTACCCAGGTATTTTGATTTCCAAGATGCCTGGAATTCTAAAGGATTTCTAGGGGATTCTTGCAAAGAAATACTTATGTTATAATCGAGGGTGTGGAATGATTATATGTACATATAAATGCAAATAGTAAAAAGCATGACCTATGCTTTGACTACGGGTAAATTAGTTGACTGCCCTAGGAATGTTTCTTTAAAACAAAAAGAAGAATTTGTGGAAACAAGCTAACCTAAACTATGCCTGGATTGCATTCTGGTATTGCTTCTGTTTGAAATATGGACAATTTCAGGATTGCCAGGGGACATTTTGGCCTATAGAATCTGTAGATCCATTGTGTTTGCACATATTTTACATTTCTGAATTCTGAACACTAGAAAGCCCTGGTGCATATTGTCTCAAATGTGGCTACTGAATTTTAACCACGGAATTAGATTGCAACCTACATGCTGTTAACTACTGAGCCAAGATGAACTCGACCACTGCATTGAAATCAGGATTAGCAGTTGTGTCTGTATTTGAAGGAGTTGTAATAGCTAGGAACTGGTTTTCTTTAATGGGGTTTTTATTTTTTATTTTTTTTCCTTTTAATGGTGCCACTTTGCTTTTAAGAATTGCTTAATAACACCATGCATTTATCTAAGATTTTCATTGTAACCTTAAGAAAATAATAAAACCATCCTATAGAAGTAGTCGCTTTCGAACCCAAATGGCCAGTCGTATGTTTATGTATTGCGTTAGTGTACTTTACCTGTTTTCTTGCTAAAGCAATCACTTGTTTTTTTAAAAATCAATTTATTGGGGCTCATACAATTCATCACAATACATAAATCAATTGTGTAAAGCACATCTATACATTTGTTGCCCTCATCATTCCCAAAATTCGCTTTCCTCTTGGGTTCCCGGAATCAGCTCATTTTCCTTTTTTCCCCTCCCCTTCCCTTCCAGCAATCACTTGTTATCACCCCCCCAAGAAACATTTTGTCCATGTGATAGAGCCCTTTGTCTTGAATTTAAGTGTGTGTGTGTGTGTTTGTGTGTGTGTGACAATATCAAATAACTCTTTTGTGAGTTTTCTTCTTTCGATATTTTCAGGATGAGGGACCTTCTGACTTTGTGTTTTTCTTTGATAGGACTTGATCCCGCCCAATTTAGAGTTCACCATTATCAGAAAGATGAAGAGAATGATGCTTTCCTAGGTGGCCCAGCACAACTCACCGATGAAGAGAAGTACAAGCACTGTGACCGGTTTAAATGCCCATGTCCTACGTGTGGGACCGAGAATATTTATGATAGTGTCTTTGATTGTTCGGTTAGTTTGTCTTCCCTTTTTTGGTCTTTCCTTTTTTTTTTCTTTCTTCCATGTTGTGAGTGAAATCATATAAAGGCTCCTTTCCCCCCACACTATGGTATCCAAAGAAAACATCTTTTCATGGGTTGAAAGAATGTTAGCATCAAATTGAACATACTCAAATATTGCTTTTGACTTCTTAGAATGATTGGCCTTGGTTTTCAAGTAGAATCTCTCCCTAAAAAGTATCCAGATTTTCTTAAAAGTATTTTGTATTTTAATTTCTTAATTAGTAACCTGTATTTCCCCACTCTCAACCCCTATTTATTAAGACTTAAGAACAATATTTTCCTTTATTTTAAATCAAGTTAATGGAAACTAAATGTTTGGGGAAAGTTTTTGTTTATCTTTACACATTCCTCTTACCTCCTCTCTACAAAGGTACTCCTGTTATCTTTTCTGCTGTTTTTGCATATCAAACGTTTACAAAGTGACAGGGAGACATTCCTCTGCAGAAGTACTGCCAAAAATGTATTGCCGACCTTGGATCAGAACTTGAAACTTGGCCAAGGTACTTGATTCCATTGCAGTATCATGCATGTACCAGCCATTGGCAAATGAGGAGGCAGCAGAGCTCTGCAAAACCTTGAAACTGAGAGAAAATATATCTGCTATCTAAATTAAAAGTAATTATTTTAAGTTAATTTGGACAAACAGCAGATGTTTTACATTTTTTTGAATCAAAACAAAGCAGTCTTTGGAAGCAAGTGCGAGGAAGAGGGAGACACAGATCAGCAATACTTGCTAAATCCTTGAGTTTTGCTTCATTACAGCTGTAAATAAGATAGTTAATTGCATGGAGCCTTGACGACTTGCAGATGGGCTAACTGTGGAAGAGCCAATGTCAAGCTCTAAAATCTCTTCCACCTGGAATTGCTTAGTGTAGCGGGTAGGGTTATGTACTAGACAGGAGCAAGAAACCAAGATGTTGAAGCACTAAGAAGGAAAACAAAATTCTCTAGAAACCAACAGTTTTTCTGTAAGTTATATTTGCTTTTGTCTTTTTTTTTTCAAGCCAAGCAAAACAAAATCTGCTACCCCTTCCCCAACTTACTAATAGTTCACAGTTTCAGATTTCATACCCTGAAAACATTTCTTTTTGGGGTGGGGGACTGAAAAAGAGTTTTTAGATTTGCTTGTCTGATGATAAATGATATTGCTTAATGGCGTAACACTTTTAACTTTTAGACTATATTCTTTCAGTTAAGTTGAAAGCAAACCGAAATCGTCGGTTCTACTGCTTCATCGTCGAACATGGAACGAATCTGTACCGAATTACACATTTGAGTAGTATCTCAAAGAAAGACTTCTGTTTCCCGTAACATGACTTTACTGGTATTTTTGAAAGCAAATTACTTTATCCACAGGCTGTGTCATGTTTCGAATGTTAAATAGTGATTTCAGGGATTTCCCTTCAACTTTGCCACCGATATGATAGTGGCAAAGAAAGTAAGATACATGGGATTAAAGGAGTCTTAGGAAGAAAGTAGTTGTGAAAGTTGTGTTAAACACTCACCAATAAAACGAATTAATGCTGCACACCAGGCTAGCATCCACGTTTTTAAGGACAAAGGCCTTTTATAACCTGGCAATAACCTTTTATGTACTTGTCTGTCTTGACTTCCTTTTCATCCCTGTAGGGAACCAATGTGGAGCCCAGCTTGTATCGTTGCAGTAACATCGATTGTAAGGCTTCGCCTCTGGACTCAACAGCACAGATGAGCAATAAATTGATCTTGGACATTAGACGTCGCATTAAAAACTACTATGACGTAAGTACCCAGAATGCATTTTGTACACACACAATCCCAGACTTGAGGTTTGGTGCCTGCTTTCATATAAAATAGTAGAATTTTGTATTGGTTTCTTGAAATGATTTTGGAGAAAATTCCTGGTAAAATCCTGTTAATACAAGCATGATACAGTGTGTAATTTGGGGGTGGGGACGCGTATTAGCATGACAAATGAGTTGATTTTCTATTGGGCCTTACATCTCTTTCAGTAATGAGCTAGGTTCAAAACGGAGATTTTTGCTTTTAAGAAAAACAGAGAATGCGATTAGGAAATCGATTATTGTCACCTAGAGAAGCTTGCACTAAATGGCCACTTGGCCTCTTGAATTGAGGAGGAAAAGTCCATTTTGCCTGTTTTTGATATGTGGAGCCATAACACATGTATGGTGATTTTAATTAACTGCCTCCCAGCCAATACTTTATATGATCATCTAAAACATTTCATACTTTAATTTCCAAGCAAATCAAAGTAAAGATCTCTAAATTGACATGCAATTGGCCTGGCTTTTTCAAAGACAATGTGTAATCTCTATAAATATATAGTAAAAATGCCAGAACGGTGAATAAGGCTGTCTGGGTTATAAAGAAGGCTTTCATTCAAAGTTTTTGTTTGTTACTTGTTAACACATTTCATATGAATGAGATTTTCCCCCTCAATTAAAACTAAAATAATAATGATAACCCCACACTTCCCATGTCATTTTTCTTAGCATTTCATTATGTCATTTGTCTTCCAAACAAAATTCATTTTGTGAAAAATTAATGAGCTTATTTAAAGGGAGGAAGATGGAACTTTCCCGTCCCATAAAGAGTATCAGTCTCAGAAACTCAGGCAGTTGACAAAAAATGGTCAAGTTCTATTCGTTACGACCCATGACTTTTATTAATGTAATTTTATGATTTCTACTTATATGTTGGCTAACACCTTGCCTTACCTTTTAAAAGGACGCATTATATTAGAATAGACTTTTCTCGTTAGATTGGAGAGTGAGAACCTGTAGTACCAGTATTTTGATTTTTAGAGTAGAAAACTTTGGATTTGTTCCTCTCCCCTACCCTATGCCCCACAAAAGTCGGTTTGTCTGAAGTTTACTCTTTTCCCTATGATAATTTTGACTCCCCCCCCCCTCAAAAAAATCTGAAACATTTCATGGCTAATCCTGTGTGCATTTAATGAACAGTTGGATGGCACTAAAGGTTATTGAGGGGGAGGGTCACATTCCACAAATAGATGAGACAGCACATGAAATGCTAGGCCGTTACTTAGCATGAAGTGTCCAAATCCAAACTATTCAGCTCCTCATTTGCAAACCTCATTGAGTAGAGTCACTCTTGACTCTTGGGAAGATGTTGGAATTTTCCCTCTGTGTTTAGTCTATCAACATTTTCACCATGGAAATGTTAATACTAGAACAAATCCATGTATTTCCTCTTAGACGAAGGGACAATTTGTTTTGACTAAGTGGAGAATACTCTGAAAAATCATCATCTGTGTAGTTAGAAATATGCCTAAGCTGAAAGATTGCTTTGTAAACTAGTTTTGTATTTGTTACTATGATGGTGAGTCTATACACAGTTTTTGAGCTAAATAACCTAGGGTCCAGAAATGCAACCCAAGGTTTCCAGAGCATTTACTTTCATTGTGATGTCCTCCATGGAGGAGAGAGAAAGAACTCCATTCACCGCTCCCTCTCTCCCTGGCTCTAAGCAGAACAAATCTCTCAGGTACTTATGTTTTCAAGCTCAGGGCGATCATTCAAAAGACTCGGGTACCATGAGGTTCGGCTTCATGGTAGAGCGTCCTGTTTTCTTCTGGGCCCAGACTTCAAGGACCTTGAGCTGGTAGAGGAGCTATGCCTTGTCTTTGTTATTGAGCCTCAGATGGCACCGATGACAATTTGTTCAATGGTATATTGTATCCTGATGACAATCCACCTGGAGACTAGGATACCAATCGTGCCCGAGGCAAAGCTATATTGCTAGGAAGTATTGAGTTGAAGTGACTGATTACTGAAGATGACACTTTCCAAGAGTGTTTCCTCTTCTTTTGCCGTGTTTAAAATAGTGCTCACTGGACAGAAAAGTTGTTTTTAAGCTTAGAGCAAGTCTTAGAATCACTGGAGGGGATGTTTAAGTTACATTGAGGAAGGAAGGCATTTCTATAAGGTAGGGACTTTAGGGAGGGTAAGTGAAATATGATAACGTGACCAAACATCCACTGTCATTGCCAAGGAACATCATTCCAGATGACCAAGAAAGGTGGTTATCAAAACCAAAATATACTTGTTTCTTTTGAATAAGTAGTAGGGGGTGTGAATAAAAGTGCTGAAACAAACATTTTTTTAAAGTTTACATATGTGAGATCCAGCTTGTTCTACCCTAATGTTTTGATGTTGGCTACTTTAATAGAAGAAGAAAGATTTTTTTCTTCCTTCACCATCTAGCAACAATTGGCTATATCTCTCCCACTTTCAGCTCCAAGTATACGTAGAAATTCAAAAGGCACCCAGCCAGGATATTTTTCTGTACTCTGAGGATAAGAATTTCTTGATGAGGAAAACCCACTGGAGTGCTAGGGTGGCACCGGATGCTCTAATACTGTGGTTCTCAACCTTCCTCATGCTGCAACCCTTTAATACAGTTCCTCATGTGGTGGTGACCCCCCATCCATAAGATTATTTTCGTTGATAGTTCATCACTGTCATTTTGCTACTGTTATGAATCCAGTGGCCCCTGTGAAAAAGTCGTTCAACAACCCCCCCCCAAGAGTCACGACCCACAGGTTGAGAACCACTGCTCTAATAAAAGTGGATTTCTTGTCTTGAACGTTATTGGTTCCTCTGTACATAGTTCAAATTTAAATGATTTTTTTTTCTTTTTTGGAAAACCCTAAAAAGCCAACGGAAAGACTTTGATTTCTAAACCTCTTACTTAGAATGTTTGTGAGGGCCTCATTTCTATGGTTAAAAATTGATACATGTTCCCCCAGACCTGAAATTCTGCTCCAGAAGAGCAAATACAAAAGGGCGAAAAACACTAGCTAATCTAAATTGGGAAATGAAGAGGGCTTTTTTTAAAGCATGAAAATTTCATCATCTTGTCAGCTGGCAGAATGCCTGCTGTGTGGATTCACAAAGGCTAAGAATTACACTTTCATGAAATTTTCCTCACTAACTGCCCTGGTTAATTTGAAAGATAACCCACTGTTCTAATTCATTCCTCAATTGGGCGGTGCAGGTTTTATCTTTGATCTGACAAAGCATTTGTGTTAATCGTTTTGGCCCTCTACTAGACACTCTTGGGATTGTGCTTTTACAATAAATGTGTCTGTGATAGCTCTTTAGTCTATTATACTTACAATAGATCCATAGAACTGGTAATTAATTCTCCACTGCTTTGGAAATGGGAAGAATAGGTGTAGCTCTGTCAAGTGCTGCTGGGAAGTTTGTTTAGCTGGTTCATTTTTGAAGTGTTCCCCTCAGCCTTCTATGAAGCAGCCACAGAAGAGAGTCTGCGATTGAGATCCTTGTCTATTCGGCCTCCTTGCTGATAAATGGAGAAGCTGACCTCTCTTGGTACCTGCAAGGGGGGTAGTGGGTCATTTACTTTCATCTCAAGTACTATTAGTTATAATGTACATTAAACCCTCATTTTAATACTTAAGGAGCCATTCCTTTCTAAAGGTGGAGCCTCTATGAGGCTCTGTGGGGCATACTGAAATTCACTCCTCAGTCCCCATTGATGGTTCATGCAGGTTCTAGAGTGTTCAAACAGGGCAAAATCTGTTCCTTGGCAGCCTTGTAGCACTTCTAGCCATGTGTATGAGAGCATTTCTCACAGTACTATCCTATGATTTTTTTAAACAGTGAAGTGTTACTGGCCCTGGATCTCAAAGACTGAACAGTGCTCGTCACTCATGATGGCATATTGGTTATGCGTTAGACTACTAACCACAAGGTCGGTAGTGTGAAACCACCAGTCACCCCATGGGAGACAGATGGGGCTTCCTACTCCTGTAAAGAGTTAACAGTCTCAGAAACTCACAGGGGCACTTCTACCCTGACCTATAGGGTAAATATGAGTCAGCATTGATTCGATGGCAGTGAGTTTGGTTTGGGTTTGGTAAAACATGTGATAAGTTGATTAGTTGCTCAGGCCCGAAATGGGGGATTGAATTCCTTAGAAATTTGTTCTAATGCCGGAATTTCCTGAATCGTGCTTTTTAAGAACCGCGACTGCGCTTGCTTCTTTGTCATTTGTCATTTCCCCCACAGCCCCTTGCTTTCAGTAATATGTGTGTGCACATTAACCTTTGATTACGAAAGGAACCAGGACGTGTTACGCTTTCCTAATTTTTCTTTTTCTTTTATACTGCTGTTGTGTGGGTCAGGAGAAAGATGAAACTGTTCTCCTGTGAGGAGTTAGTCCTGAAAACCCTGTAGGCTCACCATGATTCAGAATTAACTCGATAGCAGTGAGTGAGTTTCATATGGGTGGAAGATTTATTAGTGGTATATGAGATTCGCATTGGAGGCAAGCTTAACGACTATCTGCAGATGTCACAAACTTACTTGCTGAAAAGGAGGCTGCATGAAGCACATGCTAATCCTTCAGTATGGATTAAGACTCATTTTGAAGAGAACCAAAATCCTCACAACTGGCCCAGTAGATAACATCATGATAAACAGAGAAAGGATTGAAGTTGTAAGGGTCTCAGCTTGCTTTGGTCCACAGTCAGTGCTCATGGAAACATCAGTCAAGAGACCAAAAGACACGTCGCATTGGGTCAGTTTGCCACATGCGACTTCTTGAAAGTATTGAAAAGCAAAGATGCTACTTTGAGAACTAAGGTATGCCTAACGCAAAATATATATATTTTCTAGCCATGATATTTTAAATGATCTCATACGCATGTGAAAGTTTTATGCTGAATAAGGAAGACAGAAGAAGAATCTGTGTGTTTGAGTTGTGGCGCTGGA